AGTTCATTGTTAATTATTTACAGTAGATAACTTAGGCATAATAAACTGTAGTTATAAATTATAAAATCATAGATAGCATTTGAGGTTGGGTTTGCAAGATAATTTAAACAAATACAAAAGATGATTAAAATATTAATATATCTTTAACTTAATTCATCGGTTTTTTAATTGTTCATATTTCTCAAGTATATGTCGTCATTATTACAATTATTGGACTAGTGCAATTAAAAACTAATTTTTGAACATACTATTAGGACTAAAAAGATTTTGATCTCGATTTTGCAATTTAAATAATATAATATAGAACTCAAGGACTGCTAATCATAGACAAATACAAATTTATGACCTTGGTCTTTAGAAGGTTGGCAGGGGGACTTATCCATCACAACCTCCTCTCCATCACAAGTTGTGCCTATAATAAGCAGTTAACTGTATCAATATTTTGATCAGATAATTTATTTCCATACTTCTTTTCGACTTCAGCTCAATGGACTCGACTCTTATTATAATATATTAATATTACGCATAATATGACATAGGTACCAATGTATTGAACAAAGACATCAGTGTTATCATAACAATAAAAATACATATGTTTAACGAATCATAATTACCAGAATGAATTGGCCGAGATAGAAGACTGTTAAAAACATTTATTTTCTTCAATTATTTATTATGTCCTGTACGTGCTCAACTTAAGAGTTTTTTGGGGAAATAAAAAAAAAACCACCCAATTATAAGCGACTACAAAGAGTGTAACACGTTCATATAATATAGTCTCTATAATGTAATTAAATGTCGGAATATTTATTGTTACATAAACCTGCGTTTTTCTCAGAATCATAAAATCCACCATGGAGATTTTTATTACTTGAGTAATTTTATTACTCCTCAATAATATTATTATGTTATTACAGCATTTGTAAAACACAATTACGATTGAGGGTAGGTATATTATTTATTTTATTAAATGTAGAATGCTGTATCTTACCAAAACTAAATATCATATTGAATAGAATGTTGTTAAGATTTTGTTAGAAGTAGGTACACAAAAATAATATACTACATGGAATATTATTATAGATAAATTATAATTTCGTTTACATTTAAAAATAAACCGATAAACACAATGCTATACCTATATATACCTAATATAATGTATTGTGATAAAAATTGTTAAATATACTATACTTATAATAGTGTAAGAAATATAAAAATAATAGTCATTTAGTGTTCTCTTAATTTTTTGAAATGCGAAGTATCCAGCCGCTTCGATTTAGCAGCCGACGGCATTTTCTACAATACGAACCTACTTCAATAATAATTGTATTTATTTTGTATCTCATCTAAACTTTTCACATCACGAAAGTAATTTATTAAATTATTACTTTTTTACTACCAATGAATTAATGTAGGTAATAACATTTCGTTAGAGTTATTACTGTTATTTATAAAATTAATGCCATTATAAACAGGGTTGAGCATATCATAGTTATATGTAACTAAGTTATGTATCTCGGTTACTCATTTTAAATTTAACTTATAACTTGTAACTAGTTACAAATATGCCTGTAACGTTATATGAAAGTTACTAGTTACAATTAAAAGTTACATTGTGCTATTCGTGCTTTGATAATTCATAAATGGGTCTGAAAGAGCAAAAAAAATAACGTTTAATACATTAATTTTGGTTTCCACAAGTGACCAGTGGATTCAGTGGCTTGTAACATTGGGTCCAAGTGTTGCTCAGGCAACACCTTAAATATGGGTGGGTGGGTATTGATAGAAAAAAAATAGGAAATTTTATAGGTCGGTATAACAGTAATATGAGGGGTAGGTCACAAAAAATTATTTGAGCAACACCAATTTTTTTTTATGATACACGCCACTGAGTGGATATTTATGGGGCCACGAGTTACACTAATCGATTATAATATTATGAATATATTCTTTTCATCGAAATTGCCTATATAGAACCCCTTAAACATACGTTACAAAACTATAATATAGTTTTTATTATGATGTCTGATACGTCTAGCAGGCGCAATGTAAAATACTACTGCGCAAAATATCCTTATGTTTAACAATACGATATTATTGTAAACGCACTGGAAGGATAATAACAATAATGATAACTATAATAACAATGCACGTGGCTGTTCGTGAAATTGCGGCCAGGACAAAACGTGCAGCACGCCTATATAAATATATTTTTTCTTCTCACTGCAGAGCGTTCTGAAATCAACTCGCCTATTTGTCTGTTCGAGGAGAATATTAAGCCATCACTAGAGAATATAAAAGGTGATACAATGCAATAATAATATAATAAGCAAAATCTGCGGCAGTCAACCCGTGGCCGTCGACGGCGGGAAAAAATGGAGTTTTGTTCGCGGTAACGACCGCGCTCGTTAAAAATTTTCAAACAACATTAGAAAAAAAAACAGAATACACATTATTGTTATTATTATTATTATTATTAATATTATATATTATACATGTAGTTGTATAACTCCGCACGAGGAAGAAGAAAAATATAACACACGCGGTGACAACCCCGCGACGAGGACGTTCGTAGCTTCTAAACTATCTATTGTAATACATTTTTTTTTTCCATTGATTCTATGCCGATCTCGAAATACAGTATTGTATTGTATTCACTCTGTGCTTATTTTAATGATCCAGCAAGCAATTTTTTTCAATCTCCATTTCTTACATCAAAATCAAACTGCTATTTTACAGATACCTATTTACATAACGTATAACCTACATATCTAATCTAACATAATATCATGTTACATATTATAATGTTAACTGTTAAGAATATATGGATAATGGATATTCCTCATTTCCTCCTCCCGGTATACAGAGAATTACCAGACTAAACTTCAATAATTCTTTCATATTTTATACTTATTACCTTCGAGTTTTGAAAACACCTACCTATATACGGGCCGGCCTGAAGGCGGTGCGAGCTGTGCAGTAGACTACGCGATTTGTTGCAAATATAAATTATCGGATCCATGGACGACCACATGTTTATGACGTAGGTATTGATCTAATTATTCAGATTGAAAAATATCACATTGCTTAAGAAAATCAATGTTCTTGTCAGCCTAAAAACCGTACCTCGGTAATTACCGAAAATACCATATGGCGTATACCAGAATTTATTTTTTATTATTTTTATATATTCATAATGACATAATTTAATATTGTCATTTTCGTTATCTGTTATCTGATATCATATATCACGGACGAAGATTACGGACTAAGATTATAAGAATGGATAGGAAACGCCTATACTCAAGAGGTTGCGGTCTTTTTTGGGGAAGAGAAAAAGTTCAATATCTAGGAGAGAGATCAATAATTATAAAGGAACCCTTAGAACCTCAAAAAATGTATCGCTTTATTCTCATTTAATATCCATTCTTATAATATTTATGACTTGATAGAATGGATTGGAAGTCTGGAAACGATAGCCTAATCTAAGGCTGGCGGTATTTTCGGTATACCGATAATTACCGGTATTTAAAAAATACCGGTATCTGGTATTTTCGGTAATTGCCGTACCTCCTTATAACCGATAGTACCGTAGATACCGGTAGTAAGCAAATACCGGATACCGGTATCAACATTTTAAATACCGCCAGCCCTAGTAAAGGTACCAGTGGGGCGGTGCACGCATATTTGAATTTTAAAACTGTATAATACGATGGCGTCGATGGGTATAATACAATAACAATTAATTGTACTAACTCGTTGCTCATAATATCTTTTTACCTTCTTCTAAAGTCGAAGAGTAAACTGTGATAAAAAAAAATCAATATTATACAAACTTAAACAATTTATAAGAAATTAAATGTAGGTATTAATAACATTCTTAATCTTTTACAGTTTTACACTTATGGTTTAAAGTATTTAAAAACAAAGGCATAGACAAGGAACCCACAATTCTAAAGACATCATCAAACATTAAAACTAGGTATCAAAAGTTTAAATTACTGATACTCTACATTTATTATATTCATATATGTCCCACAAAAACAGATTTAAATCGGCGACAGCTCTAAATAATACACACAATTATACTGCGATCACTTATCACAGACCATATTGTGTGTTATTATTTTATTTTTTTGTCACGGTTTATATAATTCGAAGTTTGATAAAACGGTTAATTTTATAGTCCCGACAGTGGTATAGGTATACTATAGAGTAAATGAAAATAATTATAATAACAATAATAACATTACCTAATAAGTAGACTGGTTAGATTGTTATGCCTGTAAAGTTTTTACAGTATAACCGAGGTTATTATCGGTTAGGTATTATTCAATTATTGTCCGGTACAACGATCATATTCCTATTACATCGAAGATAAAATTATAAAAACACTGTTATTGTGCTCGTGTGGTCTAGCCTCAAGGACGATGATTGCTGCAGCAGTATCGTCGTCATCATATCTGTTTACTCTACGAGTCATCAGTCACCACCGGTCTCTATGTCTTGTTCACCATTTGACTTAGATCCAACAAACACCTTTGTTGAACAGTAATGAAAATAGGATGTCATTAACTACGGTTATCATCAGACGGCGTCTCAAAATCTATATTTCGACGTATAGAACAAACTGAATAAATTACTGAAAATTAGATGAAATCATCGTGTCCCACAAGTGTGATATAATATAATATCTCCGTATAATAGATAACTACGTCATGATAATATTATATATAGTCAACGATCGTGGCCAAAGAGGACAAACAAGTTTGACACTTAATAATTGTCAAGACGGTTTTAAAATATTATATTATCGATGTCAGACGATTTACGGCGTATGCTGTAGGTTTATACGTATGTTTAATACAGTAGTCAGTAATACTATTATAAATACTACTAAATACGCTTATACCTAAACCAGAGGCGTACCCAGGATTTTTTTATGGGGGGGGTCCAAAATTTTTATTTTATCTGTTCTCTAATTATAATTATAGTTTAATTCAAAATTTTAATCTCCTGTTTTTTTTTACAAGTTCCTCAATTATATCATCTGGTGTTAAGATTTCATTTCGATGAATATTAAGCATTGCAAGTCCATTTAGTCTGTCTTCCGATACAGTATTTCTGAGATATGTTTTAAGATTTTTTAATGAAGAGAAACTTCTCTCAGAAGTACATGTCGTGACTGGTAATAAACATAATATTTTTATTAACTTGTATATATTTGGGAACAAGTCTTCATCACAAAATTGTAGAAATTGTATTACAGTTTTTGGCTTTTGATCTTCTTCAGTTCTTTTTAAGACATTTTTCCACATCTTAATTTCTGCTATTACAATATCGGGTTCACTTAAATTATCCGAATCTTTATAAAAATCTATCAATTATAAAATGTCGTTATTATTATTGTCCAATTCATTTTTAAATAACATTTTAAAACCTTTTAAAACCAATTTGTGTTCAATAAAACGACTAGTATTTATTTGATCTAAAAAGTAATCCAAAAATGGTATAAATATTGATATTTTGAAGTATTCTTCTGGAGATTTACTAATTATGTTACAGCGATTGATTTGACGCTTACAGGTCCTTGGAATACAAATTTGTATATCAAGACATTCAGATTTTTCTTCCAAGTTCTTAAATATACTCTTATTATACGATTTACTATTAAACAATTGTGTAAATGTAAATATCTCAATGGGGGGGTCCGGACCCGAAAACCCCCCCCTTGGGTACGCCCCTGACCTAAACAATATGTCCATCACCGATAATGGTTTTAAATTTTAATAGTACCTATACGAATAAAATCGGATTTAAGAAAAAACGCTGTAGAGACTTATAAACGTATAGAGTCTTTGAGCTAGTTACGAAAGCGATAAATCCGAAGGATGAACGTTTAACTTGTGTCCGACGAGAATCGCAACATTACAATAATAATATTATTATACTTTGGTTGAAGTGTAATAATTTGTATAAATATTTCATTGAAAAAAATACGTATATAATATTATAAAGGAACCAACCCGAGAACGACATATTTCGCGGTCCGTGCAACGTTCTCGGTAGTCCATTTTATTATTTATAGCCATATAGGTAGGTACGGTTCAAATTACGATATTATTATTATTATTATTTTAATATTATTAAACGTTCGAATTTCAAACACGTCCGTCGATTTCGCGGCCACGGATGACGAATGATCGCGGTCTTTGCCCGCGGTGCGGTTAAATGTTAAAAAAAAACTACGAGTTTCGTTGATTGAACGACCGGTCTTTCCGCGTCCTCCTCTTCCTCTCACGTTAATCTTGTGCAGGAGAGAGAGAGAGTGATGAGGTGGACACGACGTCGAGAATTGAAGATAATCGATCGATTATATTATTATATGCTGCCGCGGGTATTATATACAGTGATAAGTATACGAGAATTTGCAAGATACACCTCGACTTGTAAATTGAATGCGTGGTTAGTTTCGATAATTTGTTTAGTCAACTTAATATAATATGCCAACGAGCTATATCTATAGTTCAACAAACAAAAAAATAATCATATTAGTATATTATACATTTATACATTTCCCTAGGTAGGTACTAGTGTAGGTACTACTAAGCGAGCACGATTATTATTATATTATTTTAAACGTATACAATTTATGTAAAATAATTTAAGAGGGTTAAAACGACAATCTACCCCAAGTGCAGGAAAATTGGCGGAAAAGAGTGCAGAGTGGCCATGAAAGTCCCAAAAAGCGAAAGAACCATTCAACCAGTATAGGTACCTACCAAAAGCCAGATTTTAATTTTGAAAACATATTTGAATTCCTCATTCTTTTTTCTAGGTTATGTAGGAAATGGATTTTCGATTTGTTGTATGTTTTACCAAATTTACCAAATTAATTTTTTTTTTCGAAATTCACTTTACTGTTATTCAACAGTTCCCTACAAATCACAGACAAGAAGCGCAGAAATTCAAATATTTTTTCGAATTTAAAATTGGATTTCTGGAAGTATATTTTTTTCTTCCGCTTATTAGTGTAAAAACACGAAAAAACGACCAGCTTTCAACAGCCAAATAATACAACGATTTTAAATATAATAATATGTTGTTATATTATGCATAGGTTTAACTTACAAGTTAAAACAACGTGTACGCGTAGGTATTCGTCGAGCTGTGCAGTGCGCAGGAACTTCCGCGGGGTCCCCCACTGCAACCTCCACGGTAACGACGAACAATTACCGGACTATTGTGTTCTAATATGGTTCAATTTCACCGATTTTAAAACACACAACGACCACTTATGCGAGTATACAATGATAGTATGTCCGGGGGCTTTTTCGTCCATTGAATGCGTGTGTCACATTATTTGTATGATATAATACAAGATAATATTATTATGTTGAATCTTGAACGCACACATAATAATATTATATAGGTACCTAAATAACTATAATAGGGCAATATGCTATAGCGGTGGTTCATAAGTCATAACCTTTTCGTATAACCACGGAACACTTATAATTTCATAAGATTTTTGCTTTGCGGAAGCTAGTGGTTTTACAATGGTGTTTATTTTTTTTTTTATATCCTGTATGCAACATTTTTACCAGAAAGAGTGCTTTGATTTCAATGGTACTTTAGAAAGGTCATTTTTCGATTTTCTCAATAGTTATTTAATGCCACAGGAAAAACTACCGACAAATTACGAAAACCGGCTAAAAATGGGATTTTAATTTCTAACGCTTTGTGTATCGCCAGAGCAACGAATAAAAAAAAAAATAATAATATTATAATATTAATTCAACTAACAGGCTATAATAATTAATAATAACAATATAAAAAACCCAGACTGACAAACCGTCTCCACTCAGAATCTAAAATGTATAATTTTCTTATACAATGATAGAATATCATTGAATTCAAGTTTAATACAATCCATTATACAATGAGCCACTTGTAACCTACTGTACAGCAGAGAGACATCCACTCACCCACTTTTTTTAATTCAATATCACTAAACAGTTTTATATTTTTTTTCATACATTTTAAATATTCTGTATTCACTGATCCACGTCCAATATCCATTATTCGTCGAAAAATGTTTATCAACTTTCAAATCAGAAATCAGAACATTTTTCTGAAAAAAAAAGGTATTTTTGGACATACACATTAAAAATACTTTACAAAGAATTAAACATTTTGATTTGAAGAATAGAATATATATATACATAAATACAAAATATCAGTGAATCGATATTCTCTTGCGGGTATAAGTTACAAGTATTATTATTTTGTAAATTTGACATTTTGCGCTGAAATTATTCGATGATCATTTTTGTAAATCTCAAAGAATAATAATTATAAGAAACGATGTTGTGAGAATCTATGATATTCGGTGGATATTATTATCTATTGTACCTAATCTGAGAACTATAATAATATACTTCTCAGTTCTAGTCCCCGCGACGATATACATAATTTAAGATAGAAAATCGGACTCGGTGGCCTACAGCCGGCCGTCGTACAAAAAATATGAAATATGAAAAATATGAAATTATTACTCATATTGTTTAATATTTAGAGCGATCGACTGAATACCGAATAATTATTACTATGCCACGTCTATCATGCACATTACCTTTGTAAATTATTATATAATAATTTATAGCCACACATTTGGAGGGGAGTGATGGCGAAGTGAGCATTTTTCCCTGTCTGGTTTAAAATCCCTGACATTGGACTGGTTATTTGTGAAGAACCATTTTTATGATTTTGAGGAAATATTATAATATTGTGTAGGTACTAGGACACTAGGTAATGGGAAATATTAATAATGAGGAGATATTAACAATTAATATTTATAGTTTTTTAGTTGGAATATTATATAGACGCTTTTTCATACTGTACAAGATGATGTGTAGTGTGTGTGTGTCGTGTGTGTCGTTTGTTTGTTGTGTGCAGGAACGCCAGGAACGTATTTTATTATATGATGAAGTATTCTTTAATTGCGAGTTATTATTTATTCTTTTACTACTGTCGAAGACGAGGATATTATTATAGGTACTAATTTACAAAGATTTGTATGCGGGCATGTACCTACAACAATAATAATAATATTATAATCCCATGTGACCATAGTTTTATAATAAGACACCCAGTGGCGTCCGCAGGGGGGGCTAAAGGGCTAACCCCCCCCCATTACCCGTATTATTATTACTTTTTCAAAAAAATATTAATCAAGTTAAACTCTCAACTATAGTAATCAAGAAGTAAATTTCATATAATATGTCTTGCCAGAATGAATTCATTTTTGAAAGAACATTGTATTTGCATACCAATTTTCATAAATTATCTGTAATTTTTCGGTAAAAGTATGAACTATTTGTATGAAAGACCTTGTATTAAATTGTCTAGCCTTGCTATACACATTTAATATTTTATAAGTTTTGAGCAACAAATTAACTGTCGTTTTGACGAATAATTTGAACTTTAAATGTTTATAAAAAATAAGCATGATACCTATGTTTCATTAATATTTTAGCTATAATAAAAAAACTTACGTATTACATTTTTAAGCTTTTTGACCGGATAAATAATATTTTATTGACATTTATAGAAAACAAAAATTTAATTATTCAAATACAATCCATGTGAAGACGGTATAACCACGTATAACCAAACATTTAAATACATTTTCATTTTTTTTTCTCAAATTATTTTTAAAAGCACTGAGCATTTTCAATTTCAACCTTCTAATAGTACCAACTAGATCCAATTTGCTTCCAAAAACATACACTGAGCATCGGAGCTTATATGATCAGAGCATTTTTTCTACCAGAAAAGTTGAAAAGTTACAAACATTTTAAAATACCTCAAATAAACGTCTGAAATTATTAGACTGGACAAAATTAAAAGAAAATTGTAACTAATTTTCAAGCCCCTCCCATTGAAAAATCCTGCGGACGCCACTGAAAACACCTAGTTTTATTTGTTTAAATTACTTTTCGTTCATTCCGACGTTAGTATATTAATTCAACTGACAGTTGACACAATTAAAATTCTAAAAACAAAACAACTAAGTACACTTAACTACTTAAGGCTGTTGAAAGCTGGTTATTTTTTCATGCATTTAGACCAATAAGCGGAAGAGAAATGCACCTAGTACCAATACCCCGATTTTAATTTTGAAAACATATTTTAATTCTCCTTATTCTCTTTTCTAGGTTATGTTTTGGATTTATGATTTTTTTTTTTTAGTAACACTAAAGTAAAGGCGGATTTAAAAAATAAGAAAATTAATTTACTTCTATCTAATTATTAA